CAACTCTGACGAAATTCGTCTAAACGGAAAACTGCATGTAATTGTTACTGGCACAAAGAAAGATTGCAAAGTTTGTTCCAGTCGAAACAAACCAGAGGGAAGACACGAGACGACCTATTTCTGTGATACATGTCCAGATAAACCAAGAATGCATCTTGGTCAATGTTTTATAAACTATCACACCGAACGAAACTACAAATCATAATTTGTGTAAAATTATATTCATAAAAGTGTGAATATAGATAAACTAACGAAGTATAACGTTTTTGTAAGATAATTTATATGTAAGATCACTTTATTGTACCATATAAGACACTCGACATATTTGCAAAAATCACCTCGTCCTGCTACCTGACTCTGCCGAAAAAGTCGTCGTCCGCTAAGGGTTAATGCTTCAGCTATTGGAAACTTATTGAAATGCTGTTTAGTGGCTCTGTTGTATTTAAGAGAAAGCTAATCATTTATTTTCAAACAACAGTCTGAAGAGAAGTTGTTGATTATACGAATGAAATTTCTCTGTTAAACAATGTATACAGAAATTCTCTTTGCCAATTTCTGAGTTTTGGAAGTCCGCTAGGTAACTACTACAATTTACTGAAAAGGGCGTGATAAAGAAAATGGAGCGTGTAACTTTCTCAATACATCGTTACACATTTCTCACAGTATTTTTGTTATTATTGATCAGATGAACAGGTAAATAAATAAAATGCCCTTTCAAAAATCGCTCACCTTCGAAACGGGCGCAGGAGCAGACTCCGCCTGTTTGTTAAATGCCTGCGCCAATCTCCTAACAGACGGCAGCGGCAACACCTTGCTTTCAACGTTTCCATCACTGGAAATCTTGTTCCCATTAGTCGCAGACTGGCTTTGCTCCTTTTCGGAGCAATTATCTGTATCGATCTCCGATTCGTCGACGGAGGACACGCTGCTCTTCGCGTTGCTCTTGTCCAAGCTGTTACTGCTGGCCAGACTCCTGACAGACCCGTTCTTAATAGTTTCCAACTCCGAGTACGAATTTTGATTGTAGCTCTCGACCTCTTCGTCTTCCTGATTGCTGCTATTGTTCGAGAAACATCTGGCGATATTCGGCACCGACTTGGCGGACTTCAATCCGAAGCCGTTGTACGGTTCGTCCCGGAGCTCGTTCAGAGCTTCCGTGCTCTGGGTCAGGTTATTGTCTCCGGATGCCAGAGCCTGTATCACGTCTTCGTCGTTTCCGTAACCGTTGCGACGCGACAAGTTCGACTTATTAGCGAGCCTCGGCTTGAAGTCGTCGCTCGCGATGTTCAGATGAATATTGGACCGAGTTCGCCGGATCCCACCGTCGTAGCCGAAAGACTTCAAGTCTAGTTTGTTGACCACTCGGGGGCTAGACGTCTTCGTGGCCTTGTTCGCACGGAACTCGTTCTCGAAGCCGTACGCTTTCAAATCGATCCTCTTGATCTTCCTCTGATTATCCTCCGAGTTCGTTTTCTTCGTCTCGATTGTTTCGTAATTCTCCTGGTTGTTCAACTTCGCGTTGATCTCGTTCTTACTGTTCTTTCTCTCGTTCTCCAGCATCTCCTCTATTTTCTGAACCTCCCAGGTTTTCTGACCATTCGTTGCTTTGGTTCTCTCAATCTCGATCGCGTCATCGTCGTTCCGCGAGGTTTGGTACTTGTGGTCCAGGCTGTTGTTCCTCTGCCACTTCGCCACCTTCGATTTCACGTCGTTGCTCTTGTTCATGAGGTACTCGGTCTCCTTGTACTGCGCGTCCTCCTGAAACAGAAAGCGGTTCAGGTAGAATTAAAGATCGCGCAACTCAACAGTGATCAGCTCCATAGTTCTCCGACGGGTATTTGCGGTTGTTAGTCGAGAGTCAGTTTTGCAACCGTGAGGGGAAACCACATGCAGTTTAAACTACGAGTTCCGCGGGATTGGTAACGTTTGGATCTGGATTAGGTTGATGGTGTAGCGGTTAGGATTATGTTGAAAGGTGACTCTTCCACGGGGAAAGAAATTGCTCTCTTGCGGAAGAGAAGATAGATATCTCGCTGGGAAGTAGGATTTTCATACAGAAAACACAATAGCTTCTTGAAAAACAGGTATTTCGCAGAAAAGAAAAGTAGCTTTTTGGCGAAGAATGATATAGTTTGCTGGCAAAAACAGGTAGTTCTTTTCGCAGAAGAGAGAATAACGCGTTCAGAAATAGCGATTTCGCAGAACGGAAAAATTCCTGCTTCGGATAGAAGAAAAATATGTTTTTGGCAAAGTAGGTGTTTCGCAGAAAAAAGAATGGTTCGTTAAAAAATAGCAGTTTGGCAAAGATGAGAATCTGTTGTTTCAGGCAGAGGAATATAGTTTCTGTGCAGAGAGGTAGGTTTTTTATGCAGAAAATAATAGCTTCTTGGAAAACAGCTGTATTGCAAGGAAGGAAAAGTGATTTCATCTTTCTGCAGAGAAGTTGGCGTGTTGTTGGGAAAAGTGTAGCTCTTTGGAAGATAGCAGCCTCGTAAAAAAAAGTTGTTCTTCCATGAAGAAGAAAACAGTTTCTTTTCAGAGAAGCACGTTTTTCATACGGAAAATAATGGCTTGTTGAAAAGTAGCAGTTTTGCAGAAGAAAGCAACTTTCTAACAAAAGAGGAAGAGCAGCTCTTTCGTGGAGAGGAAAATTGCTCTCTCGCAGTGCCGATGCGTACAACCATTGTCTCCCAAGCTGTTCTCATCAGCAACCCAAAACGAGAAATCTGTTAGCAAGATTGATACACCTTGTAGCCACATAGTTGGCGGCAGCCTCTTTTTATACCTAGATAGTCCATTTTCCACCGTTACATGCCCAAGCGCGTTAGTATTCCAGCTGTTTGTTAGTCACCGGTGCATCGATTTAAAGAACGCATGAAAACGGTACTTACCGAGCGCAGGATCGATCGCGTAGAGCGCAGAACGCTCGGCCACGCCCCGACCTCGTTATCTATCGTATTGTTTTTGTCTACGATCTACGTCTACTATGTTTATACAAGTCAGGTGAGGAATCGATTCGTTTCGCTCGCACGAACGTCGACATTACTCGTGCGCGCATCTACAAGAAACAGCCACAGAATCTTTATTTACAGAACTCGGCGGAAGAGGGATTGTTAACGGTCTGTTTAATCGGGATCGTTTTGTTAAGAGAGTCCGATCGATAGGTCCGACAGCCTGCACCAGAAGAGTACCATGCACTTTTAAGTAAGATCGAATCATAATAGTGTAACAATATATTTAAAAATTACAATATACATTCTCCGACATTCTTATGCTAACACTTTTACATGCTGCGCGAGCAATTACGTTCGCAGGTTTTGTAGAAAAATATAGATTCTGTCCTATTGTTTCGGGAAAAGGAACATCATTGACGTTATGGCACTGGCGTACTGTTAGAAAAGGAACCTCGTGGAAGCTGTACAGATTCGGGAGACAGATCATTTTTTCGGATTAGTTTCATTCGACAACCATGTTCACCACATAGTGACACTGCTCAGACTCCTGACTTTCGGCTTTCTCCTCGATTCGCAGCTTTTCAGTTTCTTCGATCTCCCAGCGACTCGGAGGTCCTGCAGACTCTCGAAAGTCCTTTCGACAACTTCCGGCACGATTGGAGGCTCTAGCTTCAAACTTTCGTTATCGTCGGAGAAACGATGCGCGTTTAGCGACCTGACCTTCCTGGAGACGTCGAACAATTTTCTTCTGGAGGTGTTGAAGAAGTACGTAGGACTCTCGGAATTCCGCGATTTTGCCTTGTTGGAAATGTCCTTCAGGAATTTAGCCATCACCGTTCTGTCCGGAACATTCGGATCGTCGTCTTGCCAGTCATCCTCGAAGGAACACTGATTCGACGAGTAATCAATTGTTCGAGCTTGTCCCTTGCAAGACTTGCTACTCTGATTTCTATGAGATTTCGGTTTAGGCCGGCTCGAGGATTGCGATTGCTTCGCCGTCGAATAGTTGTCTTCGGGGTAGTTCTCTCTTAACCAGTGCGAGTGTCCAATGATTCTGAGACCGATGTTTCCATCGTTCTGCAAGCCAGGATCACTTTGAGAACTCTTAGCGGTTTTCAGAGTTCTCGGGGATGATTTTAATGTGATCTTTCTGTAGGTAGACACCCCCTTCCCGTCGATCTTCTTGCTTTTTTTGATTCCTCCGAAGGTCTGGTACTTCAATCTAGCGAAATTAACAGCCTCGATGTTCGAGGATTCGTTGAGTTCATCTTCGAACTCGTCGGATTCGTAGATGGACATTTGAGGATTCTTAATCCCTCCGAAAGTATGGTATTTTTGTCGATCGGAGCTCCAATATCTCCTCCCGTTAGAAGTCAGGATCTGATCATTGGACCAGTCTCCGGTCTTCAACCTTTTATACCCGTCCTCTTGCTTCTTACCGTCTTCCAATTCCAGCGGGTCGATAGAATACATTCCCGAGTCCTTCGAGTCATGATCCAACTTCGGCTTGTTCACAGACGAAGCCGATGTCTGATTCAACGCGTAAAGTGGGTTGTAAGCCACCCTCTCCGTTGTATCAAGACTCCAGTTCGTCATTACCGTGCTGGAGTTATCGTCGTGGACGCGCAGAGCGTTGTCTAGCTCTATCATTCTCCTTTCCGCCAGATCTTCGCAATCAGCGTCCCATAATATCGAATCTACGGTTGTGGTATCGCTTTCCGCGGTATGTCTGCTCGCACGATCAGTGCTATCTGGTTTATTATCATCGAGTTCCATGTGCAGAAGAGGGTTGACCGCGAAGTGCGGACTGGAGTACGGATCGCGATAGGTCCATCTAGAAAGGCTGCCGCGCAGCGAAGCCTCCTCGAACTTTTCGAGCTGGAAACTCACCTGTTGTTCCTGATCGGGCCCCGTCGAGCTCGATCCATGGGACAGCGAGCTGCTGGGTCTGCTCAGGGTAGATGCGGCCGATCTTCGCCCTTTCTCGTTCATCGACGACCGCGAGTCGTTGATGTAATAGTCCCTGCCGAACCTGGACACGCAAAACATTCGTATTTTAAATGCGCTGACTTCTTAAAATTGTATCTATTGGCGACAGCTTATTTTTAATAAGCACTTTCGGTTCATCTATGATAGGGTCAGGGGTTCAGTTTAGCCTCTCAAGGCATAGTTCCATCAACGGACAAGCTCTGGATGATGGTTGACAACTCGAAGTTGTCACATGATTGGAAAATTATGTATGTTTAAGTACGGCAGCAAACCTGTGCTCCTACTGCTATCTTAAAGAATAAGGATAGTTTTTCTGAAGGATCTGGTCACGAGGCGAAGGATCTTATCCTAGCACCGTCGTTCAGCAAGTTACATTTCTATCCACCCAAATTTCTGACATATTTCACTTCTCTGTGATCATTTCGAGGCTTCCGTAGACCCCGGATTCTCGGAAGGAACCCTCGAAAAAGAGCTCAGATGTAGGGTTCGTTTTAGTTTGAAAATTACCTTTTGATGTCCGGTTCTTGGGGTGTCAGAACCACTTCCAAATCCGTCCCGTTGCTCTTCGGCAATTCGGCGTGGATTCTGCGAAAGGTATCCGATGTATCAATGAATGATTTATTTTGTTAATTTTAATAAACTTTTACCCAGGAATATCGGACGGTCTTCTCGAGTATTGCCTGTCCCACAACCTCTTCTGGATATTCTCCTGGCTGTAAGGGTTGTTCTCGATTGGCGGAGCATTTTCCCACTTCTTGTGCTCCCGTTCGGCTATCGTGCCTTTATATAGAAACACGAAACTATTTTTACACTGCTCGGTATTCAGATACTACAGTACATATTCATAGTAGAGACGATCGCACAAGTGTTCGCAATCGTTGCGGATAAAACCAAGATTGATTTAAGTGTGATAATTTTGTATAACATTAATTTCATTAGCTCGTAAGCGGACGAACACTTTTGCGTTCGAATTTCCCATCATTTCTGCAGTTTTTCTTTGTAATTCTATCTGCATATTTTCCTACTTTTGCCTACACATACTCTGACTACAGATGGTGGATGTTTACTGATGGAAACAGTCCAGTAATTTATGGAAGTTGGTTATAAAAACAAGAAACTAGATTTTTTGGTCACCTGGTCTGGGAGGAGTTGCCAGCTGCGTTTGCTCCTTCTCGTTCCGCAGGAACAATCTCGAAGCCGAGCTAGCCTTGGCGAGAGCCACAGCCTCTCGGCACCTGCTGCACAGAGAAATGTTGAAATGGGATTAAAATCTCAACCACAAGAAGAGGAACCCTTGGGGCATTTGGCGGACTGTCCCTGTTCGCGTTGCGAAACGAACATTGCGGATCAATGTTCGAGACATTCCGATAGGAAAAACAATCGAGAAGCAACTTGAGCCGCACAATTCTTCAGACGGATCTTTCTCTATCTATTTCAAACAGAAATGTGTGTCTAGAGAAGGTGAAGTAAACTTTTGAAATCGATCGAAATATACTTGCGTTTTTGCTACCGTTAAAACTAGAAGACGATGAAGAAATTGTGTTGAAGATTTTGACAAAAGGAGAAAGATAAAATATTACAGATATATACAAAAAGCGAGACGAAGAAGGTTATTTATAGCATTTCAATGTGTGAAAACATCTACCGAATATTGAAGAGATCTATAGGCAGTATTTCAGATTGAGTAAAGAACAAGTTAATTTTATCGTCACTCTTATTGGCAATAATGTTGGAGCATATTTACACGTAAACGTTGAAATTAAGCCCAATGCGGAGTCCACTGTTTATTCCCACTACATTTATAATTTTTCGTTCAAATAACCGGAGTTCGCGTTCAGATAAATGAACACAATTGGAGTAACCCTCGACAATAGTTCAGATAATAGGAGTTTAGCAGAAGTTCACTGCATCGAGCATTCACCAAAATTTTCTTCTAATAAACGAAATTCTATTGTATCATATTATGCTTACCTGTACTCGTCCCCTGGTAATTGATGATCTGCTTCAACGTCGGTCGACCCATTTTCCGCGACAGGAATCTCAGTTTTTGTTAAACTGTCCAAGTGTCTTTGCGTCGCCGTGTCGTAATGCTCGGTGTACTCGCTCTCCTGTTGAATATCTTCTGCTGCAACGATCAATTAAAAAATATATTTATCATGCCATTAGCAGATGATATCGTAGATGCTTAATACAGCGACTGCCTCGACGATCATATCTATTTTAATACAGATCTTCGCGTCCACCGTTAGAAATTAATTTTCATATGGTTATAATAACCACAACTTTGCAGTTTTGGTCTCATCAATCGTCTGCCAGCTAGGTATTTTTTTACTAACGCGGCCGGCAACCTGGGTCTTTTTTAAGTCTGGGCTTGATTTCTTTATTGTATTGTGGAAAAAAAATTTCTACATTAATGTACAATCGATGATAAAGTTTTTTAGGCGAGGGAACCAGTTTGGATACTTAAAAAGAGCTAAGTTGCCGGTGGAGGGTTAATGAAATTACTTTGATTTCGTGATCACAGATTTCTCGTGATGGTTCAGCGGTCAACGCATTAGTCCACCTACTAGAGCAAACATCCGTCAATTTCCTCGAAATAGATGTGCAATCAAGGGAAATTACCGTGAAAGTCGTTTCTCTGCTCATCGGACTTTTCCTCCTCCCCGAACGTTTCCAGAGCGCCCCCGTCAACGTCAATCAATTTCTTAGCACACTCCATCGAATCCAGGGCATGCTCCTCCTTCATGGTGAACGTTTCTACGTTAGCAATGCTCTCCATGTTGACTTCCTCTTCGGAAGCCGGCGTGCTCGCGGGCGTCTTTCGCACGCATGGAACTTTTTCTTCCAAACCATTGCGAATCGACGGATCGTTCTGTTTGATTTCTTTCAGTTCCAATGAAGCTCCGTTCGTCGAATCGTTGAAATTCTGAACACCTCCCTCCACTTTTTCCTCGAATTCTTCGGTAGCCGATCGACATTCCACCCCGATCTTCGGATTATCATCGACAGCGCTCGCGGACTCTGGAACTGGTTTCGCCCCGACTTTCTCTGAAGTTCCAACTTCCTTCTCAACTTCTTTGGCTTCGTCCACGGTTCTCAAGGTTGCCTTTACATCGTCCGTTGCTTCCTTGACTTCGTGTTCAACGATTCTATTCTTCACCTTGTAATTTAGAAACGCTTCAGGATCAGTCTTTCCCGTTTCTTCGATCTTGGCGACGTCCTTCGCGTGGTTGCCGAAGCCGTTTTCGAATACCAGATCCGTGGGAGTCCGTGGCACCACGTTGTTTATGGCCTCCATTAATTCCTTTTCGATTTCTTCGTCGGACTGCGCCGAGGAACACTCGGACAAATCGGAAGTGTCCTCCGCGTCCTTGTCACCGATCAGGACCTTGTAGTCGGCGCTCGGGTTCGGTACCAACATGGCGACCGGGTCCGCTTGGGTTTGGACCCTCTTCTTTTGGAACAGCCAATTCTCTTCCCATGATTCTATGGGGGATACCAGACCCATGTGCGTCGTGGGTGTGTCTACCTCGTCTTGACTGTCCTCGGACTCCTGGGAAGCTGAAATATTACATTATTTATTAGTTTACTGTAATACAGAACTGTAGGATAGTGGAGCCGGAAGTGCTGCGACCTCGGTTTGTTTTCGGGCATAATTAAGTTTTTGATTTAAAGAGAAACAAAATAAAATAATAGAAAAATTTGGTATGTTTTATTCGATAAATGTATGAAGTTAACAATGCCTGAAAAAGAAACCAAGTGGAGTTTTACTGTAAAGAATTTACTAGTTAGCAAAAGACACTTTTCTATAACATAATTTATAGGAATGGGAAATAGAAAGTATAATTTTCTAGTCTTCAATTATAAACCGGCCTTTGATCGAAAGTTTATATCATTTATCTAGCGAGTATTTGTTCGGTGAAAAGTAAGAACAGTTGGCTGTCGACATCAATCTATTACCACTAATGTAATAATCGCATTGGAGCAACAGGATACAGTCATCCTAATCGCTATCCAATTAACGATCCTACGACGTTACTGTTTCCTCCTCCAAACTCGAATACCGTGATTAATGTTATTAGAATTCTAATCACGACATCATCGACTCCCGTAAATCCGGAGATTGTTACGTATTCGATGACCATCCGTGTATGGCTCGCGTTGAAAAATATTACTTACATCAAACAGGTTCTACCAATTATTGGACATCGTATGAAAATCGTAATAGTTAATAAAAAAAGTCCGCGTAACGATCGAAGATCCGGCGATCTTAATTAATGGGTTTTCGAAAAAAGACGATTAATAAATCGTACATTCGCTCGGCGAACAAATGAAACGCTTACGATCGATAATGTCCATCCCGAGTTCCGGAAATGGCACTCGATGAGTGTTCCTAATGGCCAGGACATCGTTATCTCGAGGATCCTCGTCGGACGTGTACACCGTGGTCACCTCCTCGATCCGCTCCTCTATCTGGAACGAAAGAAACACGCGACTTTCTTTCATAAAATCTTGAAAACAGGAACCGGCCAAGCTCGTTTTCTGTTGTTTCTGTTCCCGGGACCGTTTCGACGAGCAACGGCCGTTCTAATTCCGTTTTCATCGGCACTGTCCACAGCTGATTCAATCGTCTGCATACCTACGATTCTATTCGCGAAGTTCCCAGCGGTATCTTTTCCAAAAAAAACGTATAATTTTATACGATTTTTATGAAAATTGGAACTTTTTATGTTTTCGAGGTTGTTGAATTTTAATATATTATAAGAAATGCAAAATTCGAAGTGAAAAATCAGATATTACCGATGTAAGCATTGTTTTTTATTTATTACTTGTATATAGGGTGGACCGGAATTCATGGTACAACCGAGCAGGGGGTGAACAAAATTTGGTATAACATTTCTTTATCCGGGACTCCGTTTTCGAGAAAATAGATTTCAGTTGTCGCCTTTTCTCCTACCGCAGACGCTTTCGTCCGAGATAATGTTTACGAACATTAATTGTTGTGTGAACTATGTGTGTGTACTGCCCGTTGTTCAGAAGAATTCCGCTGAGAAAAATGTAGGACTGATTCCCATCAATCCATCTATGTTAAAGGATTCATGTCCGTGTTTCCCTTACTGGTGGAAATGATTCCTTCCTATTAACCCAAAATTAGCCGCCATACTGAATTTCCACGAAATGAGGGGTTCGAGTTCGGCCGAATAAAAACAAACAACGTTTCCTGACTCTCGTTGACAAGAGCGTTGACTTGTCCCTAAAGCATCAGATTCTTCTGATGAACACGTGATTACTTGTGATCACTAATTACTCATTAGCATCTTGATTTACTTATCATTGCATTATACTGTACTATACACATATTTTTTATGTTCTATCATATGATATCTTACGCCTACATTAACACTAAACCTAACACGGTCAAAATAACTGATTTTTTATTTTACGATACTACAAACTTCGGAGGCTTCTTCGTGGAAAATTATTGAATAAATTATATTATTGAAACAAGTCCCATAATTACAACTTTAGAAAATCCAAGTGAATTCCATTTTTTCACTCTTATGGGTCAATGCATGCTAATCATTACAGGTCGGTTGGTTTAGTGTTAACGTATAACGTTAAGAATTTGATGGTAATATCTGGAAACGAGCAAATGAAACACTACGTGTAAACTAAATGACGCAAAGGGCAAGGAGAATTTTCAGATTTTTGATTATTGTTAGCTAAATTACGTGCTAAGCTAGAGACGTGATTGGGTGGAGCGGGCGAGAGATCGCCCTTGTACCTCGCGTCGATTAGCTTGTGGGGCTTCTCGTTTACCAATACGTAATGTGTAAGTGAGTTTCGGGAGGTCATAGAAAAGTGGCCTCTTTGCCGAAATGACGGATTTCTTCAGCGCAACAGACAGTAAGTAGTAAACGGAATGTTGCCATCATTGTCAATGTTTGTAAACACTGTCTTGGACAGAGACAACTGCGGTAGAGGAATAGACAACTAAATTCTTTACAAAGGTGATAAATTTTAAAGTAGATGTTCTCGAAAAAATAAAATCCACGGATAAAAAAATGTTATAGAAAATTTATTTCTTATTTTTTCACGTAGAATCACCCCCTGTTCGGTTGTACTACGAATTCCGGCCCACCCTATATATCAATAATTTTCAGATACTTGCCTATAATTATACAATTATATACAATTATACAATATTTTGCCTTTGCGTCTATTTGATATCAAGGAAAAAATTATGATGGAAAAATGGGGGAGGAATGAGGGTTAATGATGTTACCATCTTTAAGTTATTACTAAAATACAACATTTGTACGATAGCAGCTTCTTGCCGCTACATCGAACATTTTGAATACTTTGAGAACTGCATTTTTCCCAATTAGTTAGGAAAAGGTGTCACTGTGCGTCATCACTTATCGGCAAAATCACAAGTTACTTCTGTGCCGAATGCTCAACCACGCTTGAAAAGTTTAATTGGCCTTCGGTTACAGGAATAGCATTCATCCTTGAGAGGACACTTCGCTTTGGTCGTTTTACTCCGATCGAAAAGTCGATCTTACAGTTAGAAGTACGACTTTAAATTTCGAGGCGCGAGTTGTTTCAGAAAATATTAAAAAGTTCAATGAAACGCTGGAATCATCGCGGAGAACTGTCCGTTGAATACAGATAGCCATAGTCCGTTTACTTGTTTTATGAACTCGCTCGAGCACGTAGCTCGTCATCATTCCTTTTAATGTAAGCATTGACTTTCGTAATGCTGCTTAACTTTTTCTGTCGTTTTTATCGATTGTTTTATTGCAGTTCTTATCTCCCTAGCCATCGCCATGTTTCTCTCGACATCGACACGTGCCGATTCTTTATTTTGCCTGGAAGCAATCTCTGCGCCATTTTTCTGCGTTTCTTCGTATTTCTATTCTTATTATCCTATTACTCGTTCCTTCATCCTGTCATCCATCTTCTCCTGTTTCCGTACTTTCTGCTAATTACTTTCACCATGCACCGAAGGGTTACCATCGCGTAAATAATCATTTGCTAAAGAAAACGACACTGGCAATCGTTAGATATTCCGCGAATTATTTTCATCCGGAACAGTTCCATACATTAAACCTCGGTTTGTGACCTGAACGATCCGGAAGATCGGATCGACGTCAGCAAATAAATTCGTCGACACGTTGCTTAGTGGTCTGGGAATTCGCTTTCTGCGAGCAAAATTATTTTAGCATTTTTTCGAGGTTTATGACTATAGTACAGACACATCGTCGAAATACTATTGAATAATATATATATATATAAAATGTTATGTAAAATATATATACAGGGTGTCCCAGGTTTTAATGTTCAAACTTTGTTAGCGTATTCTATGGCACAAAGTAAGAAAAAAATGTTATGTAAACATAGGTCATATAGAGCTTTATATTAAGAAGTTATAACAAAAATTCAGAATAGGAATAGTAATCAACTTGCTGTTACTGCGAGCATTGGCTTGAATAGATCAGCGCATGCCGTGTGTTTATGTAAGCTGTGTTTATTAATACATTTCGAAATGTATTTAATAACCGTTGTTGACAATACATGATTGATATCGATCGAAGATTTTTTTTTATCTTTTATTTTTTTTTTAGTCGATTACTATTCCTATTCTGAATTTTTGTTATAACTTCTTAATAAAGCTCTATATGACCTATGTTTACATAACATTTTTTTCTTACTTCGTTCCATAGAATATACTGACAAAGTTTGCACATTAAAACCTGGGACACCCTGTACAATAATAATCAATACTATTGACTATTGATTCAAATTATTCTACATGCAAAGGTTGCAAGAAGCTGTACCTAAACTTGTTATCCTCTTTTTAGCAATTGTTTGAGATTTCGTATGAAAAAGGTTACGTATTTAGAACGCTGTATCTGAGTATTTTATTGATTTTTAAAATCATTAAAGTAAATAAATTACGAAAATAAAAATCAGACTGAAACGAATAATATTTTGGATTTGGGAGCTTTAAAGAGCTTTCACTTTATTGCGAACAACTTAATTTTCCTATATTATACTTGAGAAATTTAATTTTGCACACAGAAAGCGAATTCCATTCGCGCGGGCGATAAACAATCGCGAAAATCACCCACCGTAAGGGATAATGGTTCCGGTTGATTTCTCAGGTGTCTGGAGCAGGACGCGCTGCAGTCGCTGCTGCACTCGTCCTGGGACAAAGGTTCGAGGCTGCTGCATCCTTCCTCGACACCTTCGTCGAGACCCGCCTCGATCTCGTCTGCGAGGCAAAAATACAGGAAAATATGAAAATAAGAAAATCGGCGTTCTCGCTTTCACCCTTCGCGGTCGGTTTCTAACTCGCGGACGGCTGTTTGATTATCGTCGCTTACTTATCGCACACTTGGCCGCTGTCACCGGTTTCTCGTGGAGAACGTTGCTATTACCGTCCACCTGTTCCTTTTGATACTTCTCGATGACCTAGAAAATCCAGTCATCGATTTATTCGACGAGTCGCGCTATCGCCACGGGACATCTCGAATTCCACGAACGGACGCGCGGCCGTCTCGCCGTCCTCGAGACACGCGACCATGCTTTTGCTCACCTTGTTCAGGATCGCCGTCGCCAGCAGATCCTCGTAGCTGTGGTCCACGATGTTCCGGTCCTCGCGAGCACTTCCGGTTTCGTTGGAGCTGCCCAGACCTGGCAATTTCCGGGCCTCGTCCACAGCGCGCTCCACGATCTCGCGTAGCGCTGTGTGCGCCATCGATGGCGAATCCGCGCTCGGTTTGTCTGAAAATTATGATGCCAATATGATCACTCGTTCCGCTATAATTACGCTAGATCGATGATTGGACAGCGTTTAATAGGACATTGGTGATACCGTAATTTCCGTTTTGTGACTGCAATCGTTATTGAACTGTTTTCATGGAATTAGTGTGATTACACTGTCCATACAAATTTTCTGTTGAATTTTGTACCCAAGATCAATAAAGTGCACAAAGATCCCGAATATTAAACTTAACAGTTTTAAGAATAACAAAGAATAACAATGCATTGGTGAACGAGGTTATTTAGTGAACTGTTAGGAATCACTTGGTGCTTTTTTTGCTAAATGAACTTTACGTCAAAAACACTTTAGGTGAAGTAGTTGCTCTATGTTGTGATCCTGTTATCGATTAATAAGAAATAATCTTATCGCAACACACGGTCCAAAATCGCGATATTATTTTCCCACCACTGAAATATTGAAAAATGTAATCAGTTGTCCAGAATTCAATGTGTGCAATGAGAAGCTTGGTAGAGTTTAAGAAGCAGACACTGATTGGTGGCAGGGTGATCTGAGATATGAATTGCATAAAAGTTCAATCTTCTTCAGACTATAATTTGTCGTTATACCAACAGTGCCTCGGACGTAGAATAAATGGCGATGATTGGAAGGAAACGAATGAAATAAAGCCGTAATGTAATCAGCAAATGAATGAGATCTACAGCACTAAAAGCATTTATTGCATTATTGAATTATCGATGAAGCAGCTGTTCGTATTTGTTATAAAATCAAACGTTCGCTTCACGACGCAGAAGAATAGAAATATGAAATTGAATTACTAACTATAATTATTTATTTAGTACAAAAAGAAAATATTATCGCTAAAAGTCGGTAGAAGTGATTATTTTACAATATGCTGTAACGATAATTTCTGACTTGCTATGGATTATTCGATTATATCTGGTTTTGCTGATACGGGAGTAAAAAGATTAATCATTCTATTAATAAAATTTTGAGATCCATATGTTGTGCGATGGTTCATGGAATAAAATAGTGCGCGATTCCTTATATGATTTGATAGTGCATACGAGGAGAACAGTTATACAATAATATATACTATAATATATATAATATATTATATATAATAATATATGCAATAATTACTGGAAATGAGATATGATCTCTGATTACTTTACTTGCAAACAAATATCGGTAACTTTTTTTCTATATTGTGCAATGTTTGGAGATTTATATTCTTAAATGAGTAATATCCTTTCTACGCGTTTACATTGATAAAAACCATGGAAAAAAGGAACAGGATAGAAACTCTCGTAAAACTTCAATCCTTTTTCCGCTATTTTCAACCTATCATAAACTATCGATGCTATCTACAGAACTTGTATGCAGGAATCTCTTCTCGGAAATATTCGCAATCTAATTAAAACAAATACAGATCGTCAGTGATGTGTGGCGTTTCATAAATTTCTCCTGAACCTGTTAAATAAGCTTGTGCCCGCCGACTGCCGTAAATTCTGTCGAGAAGACGTGTCCCTAGAGTTTCCACGCTCGATCATGCGAGAAACGTGTTCGATTGCGCCGATCGGCCGAGGTGAAACCTCCTAGCGAAGAAAATAAATTCCCCGAAAGGGTTAACGAGTGTGTGTCGCGATGGGAAAACGCGATGGCGCACTTTCTTTGGATCGTTAACGGATCGGACGATGAGTCCACCGTTTGGCTAGGCGAACCCAGCGACACGTAATTTCTCCGACACGGCCTTGCCTCGGCCGTTCGTCATTCTTCGTCTCCCTATTTCATCGGGTGAAATCCATTTGAATGACCCGGTGAACTCTTTCCTCGGAAAACTCCAGCCACTAATAGGGTCTTCCAGGATCCCGCGAGATTCTCTCTTGCATCCTCTATCGAGGTTCTAATGAGTTGTATAGGCTGGCTCAAGGAAAGTGTTACGAGCTCTATTCGAAACTTGTACGACTTCAATTTCCTTTTACATTAACCCACTGTCTTGTTAATTTCATCCGAAGTGTGCGCTTGACCTCCACTGTTCTGTCCGACTCGTAGACACTTACAAAATTCATATTTTCGCTTATTAGAATCAGTGGGTGGACCAAGAAGGCCTGTCTCAGATTCCAGGATTTATTCTGTAATTAAAATCAGCGTCACTTGGGTGCAGTATCAGTGCAAATACACTTATCGATAAAAATTAAAGAACTCTACATATCGTTAACATTTGAGTAAAAGTTGATATTGTAATAAATATACGACTTATTAAATTAAAAATACATGTTATAGCGAAGCATATAACGCATTGTTTTTATCGCAATACTGTGTTTTACTTAGTGCATACGACATACAAAAAAATAATAAGAATAAAAGGGAACTACGGAAATAAACCAAAAATTGCAAGTTAATAAATTCTGAAAAAATGATGTTAAAGCTCACAGCACCCAAGAATATGAATACATATTTGTAACGTGTCCCTTAACCTAGAAATTTGTATATTTATAAACTTATAGGTGTCCTATTTGATAATTTAGAAGAAAGAATTTATTAAGTGGAGAAAAGTGAAGATTCTCGTGGTACAGGAAACCGAGCATGATATTGGCACCAGTTGGAAATATTCTGCGTCGGTTTACTCAGTCTCTTCTGTACAAGTTTCTTAAATGGTCGACTTGCCTAGGAAGATTGTAAGCAATACTTCTTAAGATGGAAGCTTCTCGGAACTCTGACACTAACGGCTTCTCGAGAGAATTTTCTTTTAGCAGTATATCGCGTTTCTAGGCGATGACGGAGATGCTGCCTGATGTCCTTAACAGCGTTCTATTCTTGTGATCAGAGTTGTGCAGAATTACAATTGAATTACTCAAGGAATTATAGCTACAAAGTAATTCAATTACATTGTTATTCAATTAGATGGTAATTCGTAATTCATATCATTAAATTAGCTATCATCAAGCTATCATACCGTCATTAAATTACATTGTAATTCAATTATGTATATCGTATTTGAATTACATTGTGTTTCAATTACACTCCAGATTAAAGTAATTACTAATTGAATCAACTGCAATGTTTGAATTACGCAAATGAATTACGATGTAATTCAATTACGTAATTGAATTACAATGTAATTCAATTAACACGACTCGGCTTGTGGCGAGTGTAACAATAGAAACTTTCTCGAATATCTATTCCATTAGCTCTCACGAGTCTTCTATTTTGATACTTAATCGTTTCTGGGGTTACGTTGTTAAACGTTAAGTATTTCTGTGATAGTTCCATAACGTAACGCTATATATTGTTAGAAAGCTCGTTATTTTTGTCATTTTATTATGCAAATCGCAGTTTGATATCCTTTTGTACTGCCGATATTTTTGTCATCTTCCTTTTTGCGATCTTGAAGCTGAGTTCGTAGCAAATCGGTCGAGAGGCAATTTCACAGGTGTTTTACATGTGGTCCTGCGGAAGGTATGCTAATTCGCATTCTTCGCCGACGATTAGAAAGACAGCTTTTCACCTGGTTCGTGTTCCAAACACAGTCGCCGTCGGCCAATGGGCTTTCTAACCCTGATCTTTCGCTAGAAGGTGAAGGTCGCCTAGATTTATTTCCTGTTGCCTCTCTCCCGCCGCATAGCTATCTCCGCAGCCATTCATTAGCTATAACGAACGCTCAGTCGCCTTTCAATTAATTATCCTTCTATCGATCTTCCACCACTTCGCAAGTGTTCTACACGCGATGGCGTTCATCTATTCTAATTTATCAGTCTAAGTCAACAGATTCCCCTACAGATCTGAAGCATACAAGGGTGGTAGGTACAGGATAAATAGAACGAGGCAATTGTTCGCGCATTTGAAACACCGCAAAGTGTACAACAAACTATAAACTACAACACGAAGTCGCTAATTACCCGTATTAGCGGTTAACGCGAACATAAATAAACAGTATAAAAGAAGACAAAAATTGATAAAATACTATCACAAGCAGAGTTCTCAATTTCTTGTTTTGCTAAGGTACGCCATAGTAACATATGCGCATGTCCCATTATTGCGCCTTACATACGGCACGCCGACATATGTAACAGCGATGAATACACGCAATAGGCGCATACACGTTTTTCTTTACACTCTGAGCAAGTAAGCATGGGAGTTGGAAGAAATACAACCATGCCACGACGTTTCCTGTGATTCGAATTCAAAAACCAATGGAGGTCGAAAATATCCTCAATTCAGAATTTGAACCGAGTATAGTGTTGACTGTTGTAAGTTCATTCTCCGAGTTGGCTTTAGTTAAGCATGGGAGTCGACAGCCAACACAATATTTTTCTTGTTAATTCGAAATATTTATTAGCCTAAGGTGTTTGTTTTTGCTTAACTTTTTGTTCCTTACAATTTATCCAGAAAATTTTTATTTCGCATAAAGGCCCGCAATATAATAATTACTCATCGCCTAACAACAGTTAACATAATCGTCACTCAGCTACAATCGTTTAACGTGCAGAGCGCCGTGTCGGTCACACGTGGGTGAGACCGAATTTTAACTGGACTTTGAAATTCGTTTTAATTGTAATACATTGAACAAACCGAATGTTGCTAGGATTTTTAGAATATAGAAGGGTTAACCCTTTCTGATTTCGGTTTATTAATTAAATGTCTTTGGAAATGTAACCAAGAGAAAAGTGAAAGCAATAGAGAGCCGAAGGCAGACGGAGGATACAATTCGGTAATGTTATAACAGCGGTGGAAAAATTACTAAATATATACAGAGTGTCCCTATAATTATTGTACAAACGAGAAATGAGAGGTATCTGAGGTCATTTGAAGTGACTTCTTCCTTAGCAAAAACAGTGGCGAGATGAGAGGCGAGATCAGCTGGCGCAAAGCGACCGAGTCAACGAGCCCAGTCGAAGCCCAGTTCCGCTTATTGGCTCGACCGTCTCGCGCCAGATAATCTCGCCTCTCATTGGTCACTGTTTTTTGTTAATAACTCGTAAACGAAGCCGCGAATTGC